CACTGACCATTCCCCCCTGGATTACTGACCTTGCTACCGACCTTCTTCCAAAGGTCACAAACTCTCCTTTGGTCCCTGAATCCCAGCCAAAGCTCTGTTTGCCAGGCCAGCCTCCCAGCACACGGGCACAGCCTGCTCCTGCACCTGGAAAAATTCCTTCTGCAGATTTCCTTCCCACTGCCATTAGCTCCCCTGCAGCCAAACCATAGGACGATAACCACAGACTCCTACCTCCTCATCCTACTCACGTTCACGACTTGTGCACATCAAAGCCTGATAAAAACCATTTAAGCACTTCCACCACTGAAACCTCTTTAATGTCTTTTGGAAACGAAATGAAATGCAGAAACCGAAGAATACAGGTGAAGTCACAGAGGTGTGCAAGCCAGCTCAGCCACTGAGCCTTCACAGTAATGCCAGCACAGATGGTGACATACATGGGAGTAAATGGTTAGTATTTTGAAGCTTAGTTTATACCCAAACATTGCAGAGAACCGATATAAGTATGAAATATTAACTGAAAAGCAGACACTCGCAGCAGGGTCACAGTGAGGGAAGCACAGTCCGGGTCCCTGCTGTACACAGCCCTAAGGCACAACAGGGGAAGAGCACTGAACACAAGTGCCTGTGGGGTCAGTCCCACAACTTGTGTGCAGGTTCCGCGATGCTGGAGGCCCAGTTACACTAACATTGCCTTTTATGGCTGCAGGGTGGTTGCACATTTATCTGGGAGTCCATGGCTATCCATGGGGAGGTGCCTGCAGCCTCGCTATCTCCGCACCGTGCGCAGCCAGAACAGCAACAAAGCATCTGCTCTGTTCTCATATTTATTTGGTTTCTGTGTCTGAAGCACGTCCCCATTTCTCACCTTGCTGCCTGATGACAGACTTGAGGCAAAGATTCACATGGACCTGCTGCACTTGAGTGAGAAAGGAGGAGAGAGACCCTTCGGTGGTGTGAAACGTCAGCAGGAACCAAAACTGTTGAGGGAATTATCTAATACGGAGCAATTTACCTTGGAGAAACCTTAGAATGCGAGCTAAGGACAGGTTTAAACAATTCCTCCTCTCTGAAGTGCTTTCCAGCGAACCGCTGCTCAGAAACACCACGTTCCCAATGTTCGCTTCTAAAACTTAAACATTCTGTTAGGGCTTTTGTAAAGCTGGGAAGTGTTTGTAAATAAATCCATGTGTGATTCCACCACAGTGAGATAGCAAGGACCCAGCTTGGCTTCCTGGAGATAACAAAGTTACAGCAAACCAGCCCTTGCTGCCTTCGCTTCACCACCACACGCAGTGGGAGTTATGGGGTTTGCAGAGCACTAAGCTCAGGGATCCGCACTGGTTTGACACATTCTCCACCGCTCTTCCCAACCCCAGCAGTCACCCCTGAGCGCTCAGAAGGGTACACATGTTCCCGGGGTTTGCTTCTGCCCCTCCATGAACAAGCCACTAAAACCTGAGGGAAGTTTTGAGTCCAGTCCAAAAGACAAACAGCTTGAAGCTGCTCTTGGGAAGTGCCAATAGCAGGGGATGCACCAACCCCTGCAGGCAAATAACCACAGGGCTCACACTGAGAACCTCACCATTGTTCTGGCCTGTTGTCTCTCTGTCTAGTCCTCTGGCCCCAGTGGAGTACTGGGAATGAATAGCCAGAAAGGCCGGTGAGGCTGCAGGGGACTACACCTTATCCACAAGGAGAGAATGGGATGATGGAACAGTCTCTCCTGGAAACACGACCATGACAGGATTACACTAAAAGTACACTCTCTATTTGTGTCATTCCAAAAGATGGCAAACAACACGGTCCAAGTAAATAATCAGTAAATGCTATGACACAAACGCTAAGGTGAGCTGTAAAAGGGGGCAATGAGAGGTGCAGGGAAGTATTGCTGGGACCAGACAGCTCAGCTGAGAAGTGCAGGAAAGCTTTTGCTAATGAGCTGTTAACAGAAGAAAATTAGTTCAGGACTTGAGGGCAGAACTTCTCTTGTTCAGTGTCTGCACAGGACAGAGCACAAGGAGACACTTTTCTCCCTGTTGGTACCTGGTGCTGCTGCCAGTTAATAAACCAGGTTTTACATTCACCTGCAAGAACTAAGGACTCAAGGAAGGACAAGAGGCACAACAACTTGAACCTAATGCACCTGGGGAGAAAATACAGCTCACTCCATTAGGGAAAAGCGAGGTTTGAAACACAAAGCTGGAGAAAGAAACCTGGGAAGTAGTCAGGATGTGGGAGATGGGGAGATGGCAGGCACCAGATCAGACACAAGCGCATGAAGCAACATCACAGCTCCAAGGAAATGGGATTCTGGACAGCACGTCCGAAGCTGGCACAGCCCCAGAGGAGGAGGCGAGCGCTGTGCTGCAGCGCTGTGCTGGGCACCTCTGCAGGACTCAGGGACAGCTTCAGTCTTTCATTTCAGAGAGCTCGGGAATAAACCTGCGTTCCCAGAGGAGAAAACACGCAGTAAGGGAGCAGAGCTACCTTAAACACTCAGGCTGACTAAACTGAAGAGAGCAGCTTTATGACAGGAAGGAGCACGAGCCTGTGCAGTTATACTTCCTAAGCAGGGACAGAGACCCTATAATTTCACAAGCTGGAGAGCATCTCATTAGTCATTAGTAGCTGCAGAGGAGAATAATGGCCAGGTAAGTTCTTCCATCCTTAATTTTGCAATTCTATGAACCTGATTTCTTACTTTAACACATTTTAGTGAGCTGTTACATACACCCAACCCTGTTCTGCAACCGTTACATCTAAATGTAACCTAAGTTTCCTGACTCATCTCCAAACAGACGGTCTTCATCCTCCAGCCTCTCCATCTTCCCCGGTTTGAGGTGTTCATTCCTCACTGCTTAGCAAAGATGACACCAACATTGCTTCTTTCTTGATACAAACTCCAAGACAGACATTAACATCGCATGACAAAGGGAGGTGGGCTTAAAGTTCAGTTATTTCTTAGCCTCTGTTGAAGGTAACTGTGAGATTCTAGTAACCTGGCAGAAAGGAAACATGCCTGTAGAACAAACCACACACGAGTAACAATCTGAAACGATGTGGCCACGAACAGCTCCTGCAGCAGAAAAGAAACCTCAGTCACTAAAGTCTCCAGACTGTTCTTACATCCTCACCCAGGTAGACCCCAATCAGGAGTAACCTTCCAGCTCTACACACAGCTTGCTGCTGATCTGGAGCTAAGGGTAAGGGCAGCAATGGTTACAAAACTCACAGAACAAGAGGATGAGGAGGAAGGAAAGTGGCAGAAGTGGTTATGAGCAGTTAGAGCAACTTTCAGAAGCACTGAAAATACAAGGGGGGGACACAGACAGACCATCACTTGTTCAAAGAGTCTCCTGTCTGCTTCAGAAGACACTGTGAACCATGCTGTCGGTCAGTAACGCACAAGTCATGTCTGCCTTTAGTCATATCCGACATCCAGGAGCAACCACGGTGGAAAATAAAGTGCAGCAGCACATCCTTGCCAGCAGCCGTGAGCTAGAAAAGGAAGAAGGAACTAGTGCCAACTTATTATCTACCAACTGTGAAGTCAGGACAGATTTCTGCTGCAACTATTTATCTACAAAACCCGAGCTACACAAAGTGGATGGCTTCTGCAGATAACAACACGTGGCATCTTCCCATTAGACAGTTGGGTCATAAGCACACAAAAGCATCTGTATCTTCCAGCTCACTAAAAAGACAACCTAAGCATCCAAGTAATATACCACTGAGGTTTTATCATGCTTTATCAAGTTCAGATCATTGTAACTGGGAAGTAAAACACACAAATACCAGCTCCTTTTTTTTCTGGCTGCTCTGTGCCTTCCTGCACAAAACCTACCCCAGGGGCTCAGTCTATGCTTGAGACACAGGAGAGAAGTCAGCAAACAGAGATGTTGAAAGGAAATAGCAGGGACCTGAACCTGCTTTTGAGATTAGAGTTGAAATGTACGGTTTTCTTTCATCACTGTCAAAAGGGGAGAGCTTGCTTGTGCCCAAAGTTGTAAATCCATTGCACAGCAGTTAGGAAGTCTTTACAATTAACAGTGATACATTAGTAAAGCCAAGATACTAATAATGCCAAAGGGTAACATTTTCTTTCTTTTCAACAAGAGCTGCACGATTACCATTACAAACCATTGCGTAACTCCAGTATAACACCCCTATACAGCACCTATAGAGCTGCATGCATCCCGCTGTGGGGAGGCAGAGGACACAACAGTAGCACTACGGGTTTAATAATGTTTCCCTCATTGGAGGTGATAACAAAATGTCAAAGCCAGGGTACAACCAGTGCTCTGAATGTCGCAATCCTGCCCCCGGGGCCCAGAGCTCCGCGTTCCAGCCGCTTCACAGAAATTCCCACAGGTTTCAAAGAAGCACCAGGAACCAGAAGCTCACCCCCGGGAAGCTCAGTAGCGGGAAGGGGGTTGGCAATAAGGTGACAAACAACAGCAAAGACTTGGGCAGAACAAGTTGATTTCAGACTATGGATGCTGAGGAAGAGCCTGTTCAGCTCACACAGAGGCAAAAGACTGACAGCAATGGGAACACAGGAATGGTTAAAACCCTCTGTCTTCATGAGTAAATAATCAGACAAGACCATAATAAGCCTTGTGAAACAGAGGGACCCAGACCTGCACAGCAGCACTCTCTTTTCAGGCTGTATTTGAGATACAAGCATTCAGTTTCCCCTCGAAACAAAGTTAACCACTTTCTCATTTCAAGAGGCGAATGAAAGACACAGCAAGAGAAAGCACCAGCACCTGCATCACCCCTCTCGACACTCTCCTGCTTTGTTCTGTTCATTGGAAAACTGGAAACCCCAAAGCACACGTCAGCCCCGGCTCCAGAAACGTTACGTGACGGCTCCTCTGACTACAGCACCACACGGTCCTCACCAGGGCCGGTGCTTTACGTAACTGCATCTCGTCACTCACAAGGAGGATGCGATGACGGTGTGTCAGGAACCCCGGGAGTCTCCCTTCACCTACCCAGAGCCATTTCCTATGGCCACCGCAGCACCCATCCTGCCCCGCTCCATCTCCCCAGAGTAGCTCAGGGCCTAAAACGCAGGGAGCAAAGGGGAAGGAACAAAGCCCTGACGTCAATTACTGGAAAAGGACCGAACCCAAAGGCCGGGAGAAGGGAACGCACCGGCTCCACGAACCGCCCCGCACGTCCCTTTCCCCGGGGCCGCCCGGGTTTTGCTCCCCAGCGGGAGGGACGCGGCGGGACCGGCACAGCCCCCCCGCCCGTGCCCGCCGGGTCTGTAACTCCTCCGGCGTCTCACTCGCGGCGTGCGGGGAAGCCGCGCTGTGAAGCGGGGGGGATGCGCCGCGGAACGGGCGCTCCCGCCCGCCCGGAGCCGCAGCCCGGCGGGGCGGGGTGGGGGGGAAGGGGGGGCGGTGCTTTGGGAGCCGGGCTGCGGCCGGGAGAGCTCCGAGCCCGGGGGTGGGGGGGAAGCGCGGGGTCCGACGGCGGCCGCTCCGCTCCGGGATCCCGCCCTCCATCCCCCCTGCCGGCGGGGTGCCGGTCGCGGCGGGCGGGCCTGTCCCCGCGCGTCCCCACCCCCGGCCGCGTCTCACCTCCGTTCGCCGCTCCGCTAGGCCCGGACCATTTCCTGGCTGCCGCCACCGGCCCGCCGGGCGGGGAGAAAGGGGTTGGGGGGGGTGAAGGGGGGCGTATGGAAGCGCAGAGGCCCGAGGGAACGGGGTTGCCGCCGCCGAGTCACCGACAGCCCGGGGAGCACAGGGGCAGGCCCGGCCCCGGCGGGGAATGAGGCTCGGGGGAGGGGGAGCGGCTCACAGGCGGGAGGCGACGGCGGCTCCCCAGGGGTCCCGCCGCTCCATCGCGGGACGGGGCCGGGCTGGCGGCGCGGCGAGGTCGGCCTGGGCAGCCCTGCGCCCCTCGCCGGGTCCGGCCTCCGTCCCTGCGCCCGTGGGGCCGGGCCGCGGCTCCTCCCGCAGCCGGGCACTCGCGATACCCGGCAGCCCCCGCGCCACCGCAGCCCCGCCGCCGCTCACGTGACCTACCGACGGGGCGGGGGGAGGGAACGGTTGGGGTGGGGGGGATACACTCATTGAACACGTGACCCGCGCGGTGAGGGGGCGGGGCGTGCCGAAGCCACGCCTCCCTCGGCGTGCGTCACTTGGCGGCAGCGGAGGGCGGGGCGGGAGCTGTGTGAGGGGAGCAGGGCCCGGCGGCAGAAGCGGGTCCGCTGTGCTCCGGGAGAACATCGCCCCTTGTTGTTACCCGGCAGCCTCGCTGCGGCTGCAGGGAGCGTCCGACACCCGAGCCCATGGGGAGGAACCGATGGGTACCTGAATGCGAGCGGACCCTGTTCGCCGGGGATCCCGCAGTACACCTGCAGCGGTACCGAGCTTCAGGGACGGGCTTTAAAGTCATCTCTAGGAGAGGCTCCTTTAAAAATAAACATACGGCTGTGCTCTATAAACATTTCGATTAGATTAAAATCCAAACAAAACCTACTTCTTCCACATAACCTGGTTTTGAAAGGTACGGGAACATTGGGGTCATGCTTTCAAAAGAGTTTATGACTTGTTGGAAATAGTTCATCATTTGTTTGGAATACATAAGTCAACTGCAACAGAATGGTGGGAAACAACCCGAACGGCACTTTTCCTTCGGCATAACAGGCTCCAGAACCAAAATACAGCCTCTGATGTTATGGCTGCAGAGACCCTTCATGCAAAAAGCTCTGTAAAATGACACAGTACCAGTTGAAACCCAGAGCCCGTCTGGCACGGCTCGTAACTGGTTTACTGGCGGTGAAAGCAAGCTTGTCGTGATGCTGAAATACAACCACCACTGCAACAAAGAGGGATCGGATTGGGGGGAACCCGGCCTACTTGGGAACCAAACACAGCTCTGGCTCCCCTGCTTCACAGGGGCAGCGAGGGCAGAGGCAGCTCCTCTGAGGGAGTAACGTTACTGCGAGGAGCAGAGCAGAAAGCAACGACGCATCCTTCCTATCGACTTCAGCGGTGTCGATAAGGCTGTGCTCTGGCAGCGACGTTTCTGGCACACCGCGTCTCAGCAGTCAAGTGTACTCTGCTATTATTTAACCTGCTCTACTGGAAGGTGTCCCTTGCCCATGGCAGGTTTGGAACCAGATGGCCTTGAAGGTCCCCTCCATCCCAAACGCGTCTGTGAATGTGTGGTTGTGGTTTGTATCACAGAAACACACATCTCAGTTAATGAAGATCTGCCTCTGACAACTGATGTCTCAGGGTCTGGTTAAAGGCAGAGCTCAGGCAAACACAATTTCATACAGCAAATTAAACCCCTGGGGTTAAAATACGTAGAATCATTTCTTCATAAATCAAATCCACTTGATAGCAGAAGTCCTATTTATTAGAGTCCTCCCTAAGAAAACAATCAATCCACAAGAGGCTGCGTAACACTGAGGGTCCTAAAACCTGTTTCGGACTGACAGATGTTTGATGTTACACAGACCTGGACTAGATCATCAGGTTGCCTCCCTCCCTCGCTCCAGTTCACAGCGTTTCTCCTTGAAATGTGATGCCTTTTCCCGAGGCTGTTTTTCTGCCAGACTCCCATCAATTGCTTCCCTTCAATTAGCAAGGGCAGCTTTGCTTGTAATTGGAGGGATTAAACGGAGGCTCTTCAGAGATATCCAGGTCTCATGTAACTGCTTGGTAAATATAACAATTTCTAGTAAGTGGGTTTTAAATCAAAACTAATGATCTTTTGTACTTGGCCTAGAGCTCTGGAAGACAGCAATTAAAAGAAATACCTTTCCCATTGAAAGATAAAAACTGAATCAAAGCATCCAGCAAGCTGTCAGGGTGTGATCATGGGGAAGATGATGGGGTAAGGCCCTTGATAGGCTAGGGGGGTTACTCTGTAAAATAAAGAGTATGTAGAGACAAAGCAACCAGAAAAGGCAATCTTAAAGGAACGTTTGAAAGATCCGAGTACAGAGGGACTGATTGCCTCACACTCAATCTGCAGTTAGTGGTGTGGGAGAGCCAGTGAAAGCAGTAAGCCATGTCTTTGAATCTCCACTTGTGACCCATCAGCAGACCAGAGGTTAAATTAAGCTCTCCATAGCCTCAGCTGTAATTAGGTGACCTTATCCTGGCTCCTGCTGACAGGACTTAACACACACAAGCACTTCCTTTTGTCTTTGTGAATGGACCCAATTTGTCCAAGGGAGACACAAACAAACAGATGCCTGAAGAGCCCAGCCCTCCAAATTTAGTGACTGGCTTTAGGACTTGGGAGCTTCTAACTTCCCTTGGCAGAGAACTCAACACGGAGAAATGCTACAGTGTGTGAAGTGATGCGTTTCCAACAAAACCATCCACATGACAACAGCAGCAGCATTAAAGAAACGAAATACAGCACGGACTTAACAGGGCAGGGTGGTGAAGGGAGCCTTCACCTCATCCTCTCCTTCCCCAACCACTGCCTGTTCCTCACCACAATCCTGCATATCCACACTGCTGCCATCCAGCACAGCATCAACCCAACTACAGCCCAGGCTCTTGATAGCATGTCCCCATACAACAAAGAGGTCACCACCAGTGAGCTTGCCACCATGCCAGTGTCAGTCACCACTAACATGGCTTAGTGGAACAGGGAGATGGCCCTAAACCTGCACTATACACAGTCCAGCGCTCCAGAGGGCTTACACACACACACTTTACTATGGTATCACTCACTTTTGGCTTTACAGTAAGCATGAACTTAGCAACTGCTGTTTAATAATTTATTAACTTTTCCCATTAAATGGTACATTCACTCAAGACAACAAACAATTTTCTGCTAATTTTATTTACAGTCTGCAGAGTGCTCTGTGAAACAGGAACGATTACAGACGAACACAACATACATATCAAACATTTAAATAAGCACGCTTTATTCCAAAGGAACTCTACACACTACTTAGTCCATAAAAATATAAAAAATACTTTAGTTACTGTATTTTACCTAAACAAGAGATTTAAGAATTCTTCCACGTGACGCCCCCTCCCCAAAAAAGGGCACTGCAACAATAAGAAATTCAGGAGACTGCATCACAAACGCTTAACGCCAACTGCTTCAAACCACCAGAAGAACAAATAACTCCCACTGTGCCACCAGCACTACTTGTTCCGCAGTACAGGATGTTTGGGGTTTGCTTTTGTTTGGTTTGGTTTTGCACTAACTTGCTTCTCCCACGCCAGATTTTCACAGACACGTGCACACTGTCACATGAAGATAACGGACTGATGACACCGCAGACTAACACCAGTCACCACGTGCCCAACAACACGACCGGTCATCTTGCATCACACAACAGGTTTTTGTAAAACTATCAAAAGGGAAACACATTCCTTTGGGAAACTCTGTTTAAAGGCGACTCCTTCTTACTGAGCATCCAGTAAAAACAGCCTTTTTCTTACCCCTTTGAAAATAGTGCCTGTTTTTGTTTACCACTACTGTCTCTCTGTTTTACTGACCCTATTTCCATATAGAAAGCCAGTGGAGTTGTGAAAAACACCCACTGAAGCCCTTCTCTCACTGGGATACATTTAGTTTACAAAAAAAGGCACAAAGATGAAACTCGTAAGCAGCATCAGCCCTAACTCTCCCACTGTGCACTGCTCCTTTCCTCACACCCCCCCTGCTGCAATAGACACTTTGGGTCTCACAAATTACTACAAACACATGAGCTAAGGAAAGAGGCAAGTTGAAAAGACTAAAAGCTCTGTACAGTGAGTAACATACTGATCATTAACACATGAACACTAGTTTTATGTTGCAGTTAAGACTCAACCTGGAAGCCTCAGGAAAAGCTCAGCGGTGTCGAACACGTTTGTTATCAGCGAGATGAAAGCCCTCTGTGTGCAACACTCAAGTTTCCGCAACAGTGCTCTACAGCCAGCAGCATGAAACTCCTGCTCTGAATAGTCTAGAGGGTTTTCTACCTGTCAGTGAAGCTGTCATGAACAGAGTAGTAGTGGATTATGCAAAGAATGGTGTGCAGTTAAAAGCTTTTGCTTTCCAGCATGTAAACATCCAGGTGACTGGACCTTAGCTCATATAAACAAATCTGATGATAGATTTTTCAACTAAAAAAGTAAAATCTTCCATAAAAGGATAAACCACAAAAATACTCTTTCAGGAAGTCTCACGTGCCATCTAACACCTCCCATGGCCTATGAACAGCTACGCAAAACACTTAGAAAGGTTCAGCAGTAGAAATGTTGACAGATTAAACTGTTTGGCAGCTGTGTGCTGAAGACATCTTAGCAGAGTGTTCCCACTCACTAACCATCAGGTCCACCCTGCACCACGCTATTTCTTCTTCCTTTTCTTTGGTGGCTCATCTTCAGAGCTACTGTCTGTGCTGCTGCTGCTACTGCTGGAGGAACTAGAATCCGATTCAAACTCTGACGACGAGGAGGAACTACTCGAGGATGGAGAAGATGAGGAAGTAGAGGAGCTCTCGTCACTGTCACTATCATCATCAGAAGAGGAGGTAGAAGAATCTTCACTGTCTGATGAGGAATCGCTGGCTGAGCTGGCGCTGCTGCTGCTGCTGGAGCTGGTCACGCTTTTAGATCTGAAAGCAAGCAAACATGCAGATGAGAACAGGCCTGCTGGAGAGAGCATCGTTACACAGGGTTCTTTAGAGTCGGTTGTAACACAAAGACCAATTATGTGGTCTCAAAATTCCCATGCCTCCCCCTCCCCTTTTTCCATGACACGTGCATGAATTAAGCCACAACAGGACTACACAGAAAGGTGAGGTT